GGGGGAGACATGTAATACTTTAAACAATAAAGCACTAAAGGGGGGGGGGAAAGAACAGACAAGCTATAGTTATTCAGATTTGGGTGGTTTGGCAAACCCTTTTTCAAATACAAAAGTAAACCTTTCACTTCAGGGAAACAACTGACAATATCTGTTGCTAATGATAAAATTCAAGCTTTCAAGCTTAAACAAATAGAAAGCTTGTTTGTACTACCTTGAGTTTAATAGCATCCCAACAGTTAAACTCTCTTTACAAAAATGAGATAGGTGGTGATATTAATGAATGTGTTTTTGATACTATGTAGTAATATGCCATTTTATACTGTGTAATGAGATTGCCAATGTAAACATTTGGAAGAACTGCATAAATCACCAAAGTAACATTTTCCAAATGACCAATGCCTAACTTATAAAATCATACATGGGTAAAATATCCAACGGAAAAGCAAGACAGACAAATGAATTTTAAAGTAACAGAGCACAAAACAGTTAACCAGGAAAGGCAATTAAAATATTCCCTTACCACTGTATATCTGTGAGACACCTGATTTTTCATATACATCAGATAAAATAACAGCACAACAGTCTGGTTGCTGAAGCCAAAATGAGAGTCTAGCTATTTTTTCTTTTTAAAAAAAGTATGTTTTTATTGATTTGAGAGAGAGAGAAGGGAGAGGGAGAGAGAAACATTGATGTGAGAGACACATAGATCAGCTGCCTCCCACATGAACCCTGATTGGGGATCAAGCCCGAAACCCAGGCATGTTCCCTGAAGGGGAATCGAATTGGAGACCCTTCTGTGCACAGGACGATGCCCAATCAACGAAGCCACACTGGCCACGGCAAGAGTCTAGCTATTTTCTGTTAAGCCAGATATTGGAGAAATTCGGGAAAATGTAAAATAATTCCACTATTCCTGCTAATGGGGGGGGGGGGATGGGGAATATAGCTGTTTTTTACTAAAGATATTATTATTATCAGGAGTAATGGGTTATTTTAAATTAATTAATGTGTTAAGATTTTCTCAGCTTTAATTTCTGATACGTTAAATAGCACAGACATACATAAACAAAGCTCTTTTGAGGTAAGGGTATAAAGGCATCCTGAGACCAAAAAGATTTGATGATTGTTCTATAGCAATATTATACTGACCTTTCCACAGGGCAAGTTGGCAAATGACATTTTATACTACCTCTGAAGTACAAAG